ACACACTACATAAAAACCAAAACAATGAGCAACACGAACACCACTGGGAGGTGAGCGAAGGTATTCCGGAAGTTAAAGTAAGTGCAATTAGAGCCTACTGTACTCCAAAAATACGGGTGCTGATAGTTTAAAAACCCTTGAATGAATGTTTATATGAAAAATTCATTCACTGATGAATTATTCAAAAAGTTGACATACATGTATTTTATTTTATTATGTATTGTGTTAGTTGTAAACTAAAAATCTCTAACAGTTCATATTGCAATATAGTGCAAACTAAGTACAATAATTCTAACATCTATCTATTTTATTTCTTTATTGTTGCACACACCATCAAGATCTTATTCAGACATATTTGGAATGCAATGACAATCGACAGAATGGCTTTATACCAAGAAATGTTTTACAGAGCAAAACAACTTACCTGATTCTATATAACTTAAATCTCTTACACTGTAAGTTTGAAGAAATCAACTTGACAGAATTGTGTTGTTGTGCAAGACATTTATTTCATTTTTTGATCAATTCTGTTAACAAATGCAACAAATTAGTGTTATGTAAGGTGTTTTCTTTTATCCTCTTGCTTCATATATCATTTAGTGTAGCTTTTTATACAGGAAAAACGAGTACACACTCCTATTTCAAAACACAAAGGTACGCTGCTTGACTTAATAATTGCATTGCATTTTTATTTTTAGAAAGTCCATTATAAAATTTTGTATCGGTTTTGGTATTTATCGCCAGTGCGGAAATTGTACTCACATCTAATTGGCGCCTCTTAAACTTAAAAAATGTTTAACAAAATCAACCAATTATACAAATGAATATATATTTCTTTGGTATCTTTCGCCTTACTTTTATTCATTTCCATTTTAATTCTGAAGTGTGAGAAATTATTTTTGAACAATTCTTTCGATGATTATGTAGACATACACATATATTTTGAAACACATTTGCGTGTTTCAACTCGCTAGCTGCCTGTTTTTGCAGTCTTAGATCTTTAGATCCAAGAATAGTAATTTTATCTGTAATTCAACCAATCTTGTCCTTTTCTCGATTGTGACATTTTGAATGAGTGTCGATTCGCATAGCGGGTGGTACTAGGATAGCATGAAACGCTTACCCTGTCGGCGCTCCTTTTTGGAGTTCATTCAATTCCCTCAGCTTGTTTTTTTTTGAAGCCTTGATTTGTCTTCGTAATCAATTTATGAGATTTTTAAATCAGTAAATACTGTTGCCTAATTTTGACACTCAAATTTAAAATATAAGTATTCACCTGCTGACTCGACGGTATGGGTTTGTCTCATTGTTGATAACTATATAGCCGTATGGTCACCTATTATTGCTTACATCAACAACTGATGGATAGTTGTGTTATTGGAAATCATAACACATCTCCTTATTTTATATTTTTGAAAAAGCAGCATGCTTTTGACTGGTCTGTATAAATACTAGTTTAGGTTTGTCATTAATTTTTGATGCAGTTAAAAACAATTTTCATAATGAATACTTTACCTTTCTCGAGGTCAATATATATTTTTCAGTTTTCTATGATGTATTTTGAAAATTGATTGCAGTCTGTTTTGTCGTATTTTACCATGGTGTTTACAGTTTTCTGTCAACTAAGGGTTTTTATTCTCCCTTTGGTATATTCTGTCTTTTCTTTTTTTTTTTTTTTTACTTTTATGCAGTTTTCAACATATACACTATGTTATGCACTGACAGACAATGGTTCGTGCCAAGTATAATACATCTCAATTTATTAAGATTTTCACATGTGGAATAGTGTTTGCCTACCCTTCCAGAGCACCTGATATTACCCCTTTAGTTTTTTGTTGTCTTTAGTTTTCTATGTTGTGTTTTGTAAACAGTCGTTTGTCTTTTGGTCGTTTTCGTTTTTTTTTTTTTTTTTTACCATGGATTTGTCATTCTTTTTTACTTTTGAATCACTTTTTTTTATAGAAAACAACTAACAATTAATTACATGCGGTACACACAGACTGTATTGTTTAATGTATTTAAGTATCAAATACTGCGCAGAGATGCTGGAAGCCAATTCTAAGTACGTAAGCTTTCATCATATATAATCAAATTAATCGATACGAATTTCACTGCAAAAGATGCACATTTCCTAAACGAGTAATCAAAGATATGCACGAGGGAAACACATTTCTTGATTTCAAATGATGTATTAATTTTAACAGCAAAAAAATTCAATTTAAACTTGATCTACATTTTCATGACAGTTCATAAGTACTGACCTTATTGATTTACTTGGCAGGTGTGTGATACGCTCGGAGATTGACAGCCCACAAGCAAAATTATCGACCAAGGGGTACTATTCAAACTGACGGTTGCACTTTGTAAATACAGGTGTTCACAAAAGAGGGACGAAAGATACCAGAGGGACAGTCAAACTCATAGATCGAAAACAAACTGACAACGCCATGGCCAAAAATAAAAAGACAAACAGACAAATAATAGTACAGATGACACAACATAGAAAACTAAAGACTAAGCAACACGAACCCCACCAAAAACTGGGGATGATCTCAGGTGCTCCGGAAGGGTAAGCAGATCCTGCTCCACATGTGGCACCCGTCGTATTGCTTATGTTATTACAAATCCGGTAAATAGTCTAATTCGGTAAGTCACATTCGTGAAAAGGGAAGGGTATTGTAGTTACGACATAAGGAACATATCCGATATCATCTGTGAAACGGTTATTCCATAACGGTCAACCAACTCGTGATTGCGTCTGTAAAATTTACAAAGGGATGATTTCAACTTCACCATTTGGAACTCTTGGTTTAATAGCTTCCTTTTGAGCAGCAATCCTCTATCAAGGAAATCATGATAGGAAACACAAGCCCAGGAATATCGTATCAATTGTGAGATATATACTCCGTATGCAGGCGCTGCTGGAATGTTGCTACATAGAAATGAAAAGTTCACAATTGGGAAGCTGAAATCATCTCTTTTGTCGTATAGTTTTGTTTTCAACCGACCATCATTGTCAATTTCTAGATGTAAGTCAAGATATAAGGCAGACTTAACTGTATCTGTAGTATCCTTTATCTCTAGTTCGATGGGATAGATTCGTTCAACATAGTCACCACATTTTGTATTATTTAGTGAGAGAACATCATCTATATAGCGGAACGTAGAGTTAAAGGATATTGCTAACTTCTTATTTTTCTTCCTGAGAAGTTCCTGTATGAAGTAAACCTCATAATAATAAAGAAACAAGTCGACAAGAAGAGGGGACAATTGGTTCCCATTGGAATTCCGACAGTCTGTTGAAAAACACGTCCTCCAAAAGTAACAAATATGTCGTCAATCAAGAAATCAAGCATCTTGATAATGTCAGTTTCAGAGAATTTTTTGTTTGAATCAGAGTGATTCTTTACAAAGTAGGATTTATCCCTCCCCAAGACAAGATACTTGTAGCTACGTTCGCCATTCTTTTTAATGAAACAAAGTAATACGAACTCTTTCAATTTGTCTTTTAATTTGGAATGGGGAATACGTGTGTAAAGTGTAGAAAAGTCAAATGTTTTAATACTATGGCAAGATGAGAGGGTCTTAGATTGTATGTACTCTAAAAGATCTTTGGAATATTTAGTATCCACATCTGATTCACAAGTGACGCCTCTTTTGGGGAGATATATAATATTAATAGATATTTTGTTTTGTTTATGTACTGGTTCCCAGATACGATCTCAATGTTTTATCTCATAGAGAAATAACTTGGAAATGTTACCAGTATAAAAACACATGGTAGCGGTGAAAAATGAATTCGGAGGAATACCAAAATGAAGGTAGGGGTAGTACAGAATATTAGTATAAGTTTAAACTCTTAGAAGTTCGGGGCATATAAATGTTGAAAATATGCCACACAGCCCTATGTTTTGACCTTTGAATAAAAAAAGTAGTGCATATCAACTTTCCGTTCTAGAATATAATTTTTTACGAAACTTCATAGTAAAAGTGGCACAGCTTTAGCCGCAAAAGGAGTTCCTATGGGAAATTGCTTTGTCTATATTTACAGAAGTGCAACCTGAATGGTAACAATGGTAATGCACGGGATGCGCAATGTAATAGATATGACAGCTAGGGTATGTTTACATGCGGCTCAACTTTTAAGGAAAAGATATAAATCATACATAGAATCATAAACTCAGAAATCATTTTATTTTAATATAACACTTAAGTAGAAGATGAGTAAAGTTTCAATTCGGCCACAACGTGAGTTTACAAATCAAATTAAAACAAAGTTTTGAGTCTGTTGAAAATGATATGTTATATGTCAATATTGATAGACATAAATTTCAGTCTTATATATATATATATATATATATACGCTAAAAAAATTGTACAAAACAACACCAATATCAAAAAATTCGTAAGGGTTTCCGCGGAACCATGTGTCTCGCCTGAGATTACTGCTGTCAATGTAAAAATGTAATGTTGACATAAAAAGTGAGTCAATTTATAAGCAAAATACAGAATTTAAAAAACAATCATGCTTTTTCTTTAGATTCTATTTCTTTGTCTTGAAGATTTAGCTTCTGTCTAAGTTTCACAAAAATCCAAGACGGTTTACCAATTTATCATGTAAAAATGTAATCCCAGACTGTTTGTAAATGTTAACTGTAAAAAAACTAAATCCATCTTTCAGACAAATACTGAAAAGGATTTTTTTTTTCAAAAGTCTGCTTCAGACATTATTTCTAAATCATGAAAAAGCTTCTGCCAAAGTTTCAGAAAATTATACATGTATGAACATGTACGGTTGGACAAAGTAATTGGTGTGTAACAAACTTTAACCCCAGACTGTATCTACTTGTTAAATGTAATAAAAACTAAGTCCATTCATCAGTGAAATACGGAAAAAATCAAACTAAATATTTTCAAATTTTTTTCTGGATACTGATTTGATCATAAACAAGCTTCTGTCTTAATTTCATAAAATTCCATGAAGGTTTGGCAAAGTAATGGATGACTGAAAAACTTTAATCTTAGACTAAATCTGAAAACTATAAACAAACAGTCCATTTATTTGTAAAATACGGAAAAATAAAACTAAATATTTTTATGAATGTGACCTACCGAATTAGACTATTTACACCTATTTGTGACATGTTTACCTATTGTTTTTGTTTGTTTTGTTCACACATCGTTGTCAATATAATGGAATTTGATGCGACTGTCATACAAGTGAGAGGTTTAGCTAGCTTTAAAACCAGGTTCAATCCACCATTTTCTACATAAGAAAATGCCTGTACCAAGTTAAGAATATGACAGTTGTTATCCATTCGTTTGATGTGTTAGAACTATTGATTTTGCGATTTGATTGGGGACTTTCCTTTTTGAATTTTCCTCGGAGTTCAGTATTTTTGTGATTTGACTTTTTTCAAATGTATGGTTTGTATACTATATTTGGTCATTAACAAGCTTCTATCCAAATTTCATAATATTCCATGAAGGTTTGACAAAGTAATGGATGACTGAAAAACTTTAATCTTAGACTAAATCTGAAAACTATAAACAAACAGTCCATTTATTAGTAAAATACGGAAAAATAAAACTAAATATTTTTATGAATGTGACATACCGAATTATACTATTTACACCTATTTGTGACATGTTTACCTATTGTTTTTTGTTTGTTTTGTTCACACATCGTTGTCAATATAATGGAATTTGATGCGACTGTCATACAAGTGAGAGGTTTAGCTAGCTTTAAAACCAGGTTCAATCCACCATTTTCTACATAAGAAAATGCCTGTACCAAGTTAGGAAAATGACAGTTGTCATCCATTCGTTTGATGTGTTAGAACTTTTGATTTTGCCATTTGATTGGGGACTTTCCTTTCTGAATTTTCCTCGGAGTTCAGTATTTTTGTGATTTGACTTTTTTCAAATGTATGGTTTGTATACTATATTTGGTCATTAACAAGCTTCTATCCGAATTTCATAATATTCCATGAAGATTTGACAAAGTTATTGATGTAAAAAAAAAACTTTAATCTTAGACTAAATCTGAAAACTATAAACAAACAGTCCATTTATTAGTAAAATACGGAAAAATAAAACTAAATATTTTTATGAATGTGACATACCGAATTATACTATTTACACCTATTTGTGACATGTTTACCTATTGTTTTTGTTTGTTTTGTTCACACATCGTTGTCAATATAATGGAATTTGATGCGACTGTCATACAAGTGAGAGGTTTAGCTAGCTTTAAAACCAGGTTCAATCCACCATTTTCTACATAAGAAAATGCCTGTACCAAGTTAGGAATATGACAGTTGTTATCCATTCGTTTGATGTGTTAGAACTTTTGATTTTGCCATTTGATTGGGGACTTTCCTTTCTGAATTTTCATCGGAGTTCAGTATTTTTGTGATTTTACTTTTTTCAAATGTATGGTTTGTATACTATATTTGGTCATTAACAAGCTTCTATCCAAATTTCATAATATTCCATGAAGGTTTGACAAAGTTATTGATGTAAAAAAAAAACTTTAACCACAGACTGAATCCAAATGTTGACGCCGGCAACTCCGACGACTACGACGGAATCTAGGATCGCTATGTCTGGCATTCGCAACATAAATGTCGCAGGCTCCACAAAAAGGAAACAATAAATATCAGTATGTATAAATATTTTGGATAACAGATATCCTTCGTCAGTATAATGTTAAATGAATCATATCAATCTGTTCTGATTTAAATAAACAATCTTTAACGTTATACAAAGCGCACTCGTAAGAAAGTTATATAACTAATATCTAGACGTTTTATTTGTAAATACATCAATTGCCTTTTAAAATTAGATAATACCGTTAAATATATGACTGTTTAATCTGATTTGTTTTTCTTTCTCCTTTCTTGTAAAATGTATTTATGATCGTTACTAATTCTTTAATGTACAAGAACTTATCGAGAAATAGTCAAAATTTATCTCCTTAATAGAATACCAATAAACGTGTATATTTTATATGTCGTGATTTGCATATTACATACGCAAAAAGTTTTGTCATTTATTCAAGCTTGTATAGATGCCCAAATGACTATTTCCATAAAGCAATATGTTTAACCTTTCTGTGTTTAGATATATTTCATTAACAACATTTATTAAATGATGTTATAACTTGTAGGTGTTATTTGCAAGAACTAGATGATATGTTAATTACAAATATTGGAATATTTTTTACATAAAAAGTACAAGCAGTATTTAGTGTTATTTATATATACAGTTAAGAGTAATGCGAGAAAATAGTATATGAGAAGGTTTTCCAATAAGTATTGATAAATAGCATGAAATTAACTTGTATAATTATTTGAGTTTTTTATTTCTTTTTGTATTTAGCGTAAAAAACTTTAAATATATATAAACATAAAAGACGATTTAGATTGATTGATTGTTGGTTAAGGTTAAGATCGTTTAAAATCCATCGTCCTGGCACCTACAGTATATTTACTTTTTTCCAGTTTCTAAGTTATGTTTTTTCAGACTTGGTGCATCCTGATATAAGTGTTTTGTACGTTTTATTATTTTCATGCTTATTGTATGGTAGGGATGTCAACCTTCTTGACCTTGTTATAAACTATATTCAATAAGTGTTGATTAGATCACAAATCACTTAGTTTAAACAATGTTATTTCAAATAAAACATCACATAGCAATATAATAAAATTGAATTAAATATATAGAATTCAGAAACAAGCAAAGTTGCTGTATAAATATTACTCCTAGTACACAAATAATGCACTTATTGATCAAAACATAAATATAAATATTGGACATTGTAATAAATATATAAATATGAAAAAGGTCACAAAATGCAATAGAAAAAAGAATAAACATGAAAGTATGTCAAATACATAGTGTGAAATGCTTGGGGGATGATGAAACAGTAAAATCAAGGGGTAAAGAGTTTGATTTTGATGATGCATTTCTGTACCAAACTAAATAAATGTATGTTTTGCTCGTCTGAGAGTACCGTTGAGCCAAAAAAGCAAAATATTGTTGTCAACTTGGAAAGGAAGGACTAAAACGAAAGTTAATAGTGCATGTCTTAAATCGGCGTATATTGGACAAGTTAACAGGAAGTGTGAATCTGTTTCTAAATCACCAAAACGACAGTTTAGGTAATCTACTTAATGACAATTCAATGAACGTCTCAAAAAGCGTAAAATATGCATACTTGTGTTCTCCTTGTATAGATTATTTTCTTAGCGAGAACTCAAATATCCCTCGGTAAAACCAACAAAGAACTCGATTCTTCACCGAGTTGAAATCCCTTATTTTATGCATTCAGTTATACACCTTGCACTCTACGGGAAGATCGGTTACATTTTATGTTAATTTGAAAGAAATTCTACTGTAAGATGATTGGCTACCGAGTAAAATAGAAAGTTCTGTTGGTCTGCATTCGGATTGGATGTTAACTAGCTGTGCGTATCAAGTCAGGAGTATTACAGCTGTTTTCCATTCGTTTGATGTGTTTGAGCTTTTGATTTTGATATTTAATATGGGACTTTCCATTTTGAATTTTCCTTAGGGTTCGGTATTTTTGCAATGTTTTTTTTTAGAAGGGTAATTTACCAATAAAACTATATTCCGATATATATCATTCGTCTCAAATTTAGCCCAATGATGTTAGATCTGTAAATTTGTGTACGCAAATTTTTGTTCTTCCCTCAACGGGATATCAGTCGAAACATATTATCCTATCCTCTTTGTGAGCCGCTTTGACCTCTGCAGCCTCCAACGCTTTTCCACTTCTTTCTAATGCGACAGCCAAGGAGTTAACTTGACTACCATGTGGACGCCTTCCCCTCCATTTCCAGAATAATGCATCACAGAAGTCATCAATCTTAGGTAGGTCTCTAGCAAGTGCTGCTACTTCTGCTGTGGTCAATTTTAGGTGTATTGCTACTTCCTGTGCCTCATCCATGTTCAGTTTTTTCGCCAGTTCTTTTAATGAGTTCATCTTAAGAACTTTAATCATACCTACAAACAAATATGTCATATTTATGAAGTTACAGATATGATTTAAGTGAGTACTATATGTGTCTATAGAAATGAAAGGATAATATGCTAATTCAGTCGTAGAAATAATATATCCCTGTATAAACGCATATAAATTCTACCACTGCACCGTGGGAGGTGTCCGTTGTTATTCTGCGGTTTACATGTTGTAATGTACTTTTATATTATTTATTTATGTCTTTTTCTGTGCTGAATTTTCTTGCGTTTGTTTGGACTGTATTCCTGTCACGAAGTGTTGTCATTTAAGCGGTATTTTTTAACATTGCCATATAAGAAGGACGTTTGGCTAGCCATAAAACAAGGTTCAACCCACCATTTTTTCCTAAAATGTCCTGTACCAAGTCAGAAATATGGCAGTTGTTATCTACAGTCCGTTTCTATGTATGCTGGCGTTTGCTTTTATTGTAGTACAGTGTTTCTGTTGTTCGGTTGTTTTCCTCTTATAGTTGATGTGTTTCCCTCGGTTTTAGTTTGTTATCCAGATTTATTTTTGCTTAATCAAATTATGACTATTGAACAGCGGTATACTACTGTTGCCTTTATTTACGATATTTCATTACCCAAGACAGTTAAATTTTCAAATTTAAAACTTCAAGAGTGGTTAAATATCGTATTACACAAGGTTCAGTTTTGGAATCTGGTTCTCTTATAACTTGAAGACGATATGTAAACAAAATTTATTTTTATTTTTCAATGATCTGCAAAACAGACGTGTTGTTTCGATGTGTCGTCATCAGACATGGTTATCTTTTTTCGTTGCGCAATCACAAAATCAGAGGAAACCAGACAATTTGACCTCATAATCAAATGTGACCAATATAGAATTGAAATCAAACCAGCCACTCGTTGATGATAAAAAAGTCATTATTTCGGGAAAATTATAAATCTACTAAGAATAAGAGAAAACGTATTATGGTACAATTTATTCACGTAACAATTACCCAAATTCAATAGAGCATCCTGAATGAGAAGAGAGATTAAGAAAAACAGTTCAGGTTTTCACCGAGAAAGGCCGTGTATTAGAATTTTATTAGTTTTCGTCACATACTTTCTATCATTTAGTTTGAACAAACACTTGATTGATAACTTTTCCGCCATTAGATAGCTCTCTACAAGATCATGTTTTCCATAACAGATACCTGAAAGTCGTTTACCATTTATTTTGGAAATTATTTATCTATTTCTCCGCTATAAATATTTCTCATATTTGACAATGTTGTATCTAATTTATTCCATTTTTGTATATTTTTTTCTAACTTGCAAATTATTAACGTATTATTTAAACTAAAGCATATTCTTTTGTATAGTCGTATACCATCTTCTTAGTATGTAGTTGGAATTTCCAATTTTAACTTAGTTTCAGGTGGATGATAGTGACTTATGATAGGAAGATAATTGAACTTAATAAACCTTTCTTTATTTTTTTTTTTGTTTTAGAAAAAAATAAGTAATATTTATTACTACTTACAGTCATTATCGGTCAATGGTTGAAATACCTTCACTTCAATGTTGTCAACTGTAAAGATAAATAAAATAAAACTAGATAATTTATTAACGATATGTAGAAATGGTTTTGTTTTTTGTTGTTTGTTCGTTCATTTATTTTTGTTTTCTTAAATTTTAATACTAACAATGGTCCATTATTTCAAAGGTTGAATAAAGGTTTAGCAATATAGTCACCTGGAATTCTCCTATCCTAAAGTAAACTCAATAATAAATAACAACGTCGTCATGTAAGCTGTTCGGGATGTACACATAATCTGCATCGGCCGTCCGGAATGAGCCCGTGAAATACAATGCTTTGTGTATATAGATTATGTTGAACTAAATATTCCTTTCAACAACCCTTCTATTAATGTGTGGGTCCTTTTTATATGTGTAGAAATATAATTGTAACCATTCATTAGTTGAGGAAGGAATATATGTTTGGTATCATAATATTTACAAACTGTTCATCGCGCCTTTGTCTTCACAAGACTCGACACTACTGATATAAGACTAAAACTAAAAAAATGACAATCACCATAAATACATTTACACTCACCGGGAGCTGTCGGTACTGGAAGAAGGTGCATGGGTAAGGATGTCAGCTTCGTGTAAGTCGTGATTGGATCTCTTGGTATTACAGTTTCTTTACTTTTGAAACAATTTTCACTTTCTAAAACTATGATTGGTTCCTGTTCTGTCTCTACTATAAGTTCAATTTCGATTTGACCAATTGGAGGATTACGTTTGTCTAATAACTCAGCGCTGAAAATATGGAAGTTATCTCGGTTCGGATGAAACATAAGCCTCTGTGTATCTGATTGCTCTGTTCCTGCTATTTTTATATTCCCATCAAACTTAACCTTTTAAAGTAAAATCAAGTTAAATCAAGCAGTCGATCTCCCAATTTATCAAATTAATAATTATCCGTATTATATAAACAAACAACTACCAATCGCATTGTACCTAGCACATTTCAGAAAAATAGAATTTATAGTCAAATAACAATTTGAAATGTTTTGAACTGCATAAACTACTAAAATAGCTCTTGTCATTAGTATTGAGATATGAGCTACAGCTTTACCGAAAAAGATAGTTTGTTACAAGATGTATTTATCACAAATGTTAATGTGTGTAAAATATTTTTTTTGGTAAGGTTGTTGCTCATATCGATTTTGTTAAATACATTGTAACTATTTGTTAAATTGACATTTAAGCTCAAATATGTGAATATGAACATGTGAATGACTGAATAGTGATATCGCAAGTGACCTTTATGCACTGAAGTGTCTAGATTCTATCATCATTGTTTTAAAGGCTTGATTAAGTTAACTGGTTTTCAGGGGGCCTATAATGGCTACAAAATACATTACAAATCCCATGTCTTTGCTCATTGGAAGCGAAGCAAGCGTAGACATAGGATCTATATTATTATCTATTGCTTTCAGAATATTAATAAATCTAGTATTTCATCTGTCAAAATTAGTGCAAGAAGATACAAATCACTAGAACATTTTTGATTCGACCTAAACTTAAATCTTAAAAATTCATGAAATTTCAAACCTTAAGTATCTTTATCTCAAATTATCCGATAAAAAAAAAGATTTGCATGTTTTCTATCGATGTGCAGTACACGAACCATGTCCATGTACTGACACAATCTAGTTTTTTAAATTGTATATGGACATGGCTTGTAAACTGCATATTGCTAGTAAACATACAAATATGATATATATCTGAACTAATTTAGAAAATCGTTATTTGTTCAATACCTTGAAATCCGTTTCCGTGCAACAATATGGAGATCTAGTACCGGGAAATGTTCTTTTTTTTTATTTTTAAACATTTTGAATACATGTACATGTCTTTTATAATGTGGTGTTTTAATCTGAATGATGGATTAAAACAAATGCTTACACACATCTATTCAAAGGCAACACAAAGTCAAAGCACGTTAGTTCTTCTTCTCAAAGATACATTCAGGCTTGTCAAGTTTTAACTACATTTCAGAAGATTAATGTCTTTTTATTTTATCGCAATTGTTGACCGTTTAAAGTAAAACATTCAATAAAGTTTCAACATTTGGACGATCGAAGATGTTAACAATACAATACTAATATTTGAGATAGAAATCGAGCTAGAAATCCCGGTAAACGGCTTTGTAAAGGTGAATATTGAAACTTCAATTATTAGAGTAAATGTACTGTATTATTGTCTTACGGTATAATAAGAAAACATGTATATCTGATTCATCTGAAATAAATATATAACTATAGAAAAGAAATAGATTTCATTTGACCTTATCTACCTTGTTTTCATGATTTCATATATGGCACCACCCCTCGCCCATTGAAATTGTGATTGAAAAGTAAAGAATATGGTATCTTCAAAGTATTTCAGCAAAAAATAATTGTAGGCATAGGGAGGCGAATCTGTGAATTTTTCAGAAAGCTGCCGCATATTTTTCCAAATTAAACAAAAAATCAGGCGTTAACAAATTCACCTACGTTTATGTCGTCACAAATGTAATCCCATTTATTTGTATTGTGGTCCTGTCATGTGATGTTGTCGTTTTGGTGTTGTGTTTGACGTTGCCATAAAAGCGGGAGGTTTGGCATGCCACAAAACCAGGTTCAACCCACCATTGTTTTCTTAAAATGTCCTGTACCAAGTCAGGAAGATGGCCATTGTTATATTACAGTTCGTTTCTGTGTGTGTTACATTTTAATGTTGTGTTCTTGTTGTGTCGTTGCTCGCCTCTTATATTTGATGCTTTTCCATCAGTTTTAGTTTGTAACCCGGATTTGGTTTTATCTCTATTGATTTATGAGTTTCGAACAGCGGTATACTACTGTTGCCTTTATACATCACTACTGGTGCAATTCTTTGAAACATTTTATTTTAACTGAAACGGATTATCATTCTAACATATGCTTTTTTTAAATGTTTACATCGTTGCAGTTAGAAATTTTCAGATTGTTATGGTCAAAATTAAGAGTTAGTGAACCAACTCCTTTTATTATTTATCAAGGTAACAAACAAACAAAAACTGAGGGAATCGCATAAACTCCAAAAGGAGCAAGACCGCGTGCGTCGAAAGTGTAAGCGTCTTTTGCATGTATGCATCAACAGCCATGCGAATTCCTACACAGTCAAAACGTCAAAATCGGAAAAAGACACAATCGGTAAAATAACAGATCTGTCCGCAACGGAACATATATATATTCTTTTGATTTGCTCTCATTTTGTCAACCGTAGTTACACAAATATTATTCAGTAGACATTACAAAAAAACAGGTAAATGGATTTGTAGATAGATTGGAAAGAAATCCCTACATACATACTTTAGTTTTTGAAATGTACACTCGCCAGTGTGTAAGAACGGTTGGAAGGCTTTTGAAGGCGTGACAAACCTTCACTGGTGTCAACATAGCTTTTCTATTTGATATGTGTGACATTCGACGATACACGTGAACAATGCAAATGACAATGTCATAGTTTCACGACATTGTTTTAAAACATTAAAAAGAAAAAGGATAATTACTATAGTAGTGTGACTGCGGCCTCCTGTTTCAAAATAACTTTTGAATTCGACTAAGTGGTTTGTAACCTATGAAAAGATGTGTAGTGTAAGGCCAGTTCAGTATTTTGAATAAAAAATAAAAAATGTTGGCAATCTTAGTTAAAGCCAACAACATTATTAGTCATTGTATACTAATATTGGTGTCAGTTATGAGATCGGATCCATCATGAGGTACCACACTTACTGATTCATGAAACCGGCATGTAATTGTTGTTATAAAGAACAAAAATGGCAAATGTTGATTGATAAAGGTGAATATTTTTGTTATATACAATCCAATCCTGAGATATCATGACTTAGTATCTTGTATAAAAAGAAGAAATACATGCACTCTTAATTAATGCTGAGAACAGATTTAATATTGGAAAACCTTTATTGATCTCGTTTACTGCAAACCAACTTATTTTTCGCGAGCGATTTATTTTCGCGAATTCGGCGAGTAGAAAAATAACGCGAATATAAAATCGTCGCGAATAAGTAAAACTTGGATCTGTCCTTATTTAACTACATCAAGTAAATTTTAAAATCGCGAAATTAAATCGCCGAGAAGTGGGCTACAAACAATCTGGAGATATAAAATCTACTGATTGTAAATGCTGGTTCAGCGTTTTTGATAATAAAGAAAGGAGATGCTGGCACTCGAATTAAAGTGGAATAATTTTTAAAGTCAATTTGTTTCAATATTGCCCTCATTTAAAATATTAGAATCCATCCTGAGTTATCAAATGTACTTATTTATATTACCGGCATATGATTTTAAAAAGTATAAATATTGCCAATGTTACTTAATGCGGGAAAATTTTGTTATTATATTAAAAAATGAAAATAACACGTTATAAATTTAAACCTTTTTCAGATATCCAAACTACTTTTTTCACTTTCTGAGCAGTCGTAAAAGCAGTCCTAAGAATAAGTCTGCTTTAAATGTTAACTTGATTTTGGTCCTAAGACCGGTCAAACTAGTCTCAAAACCCAGCACAGGTTAACCATGACTAGTCAAAATGTCCGGTCTTCAAGTTAACTTGTGTACATGTTAGGGTCGTATACATCTGTACAGAAGATTTTAACGAGCATGGTAACTATGTTAAAACCTTTTTTAACAATAATATCTTATCCTTCAAATCTCTTACAGTGATATAAATATAGATTTGATTGACCAATTAAACTTGCATGTAATTCTGGTAAACTACTTACCCTAAACCATTGATTGATCTGGACTGTATGACACATTCTCTCGACTTTTTGAATGCTAAACTGCTGTTTCTCCCAATCCGTCTTTCTCTTTGCTGCCTTTCTCTGTAAAGCACATTCTATAACTATTGCGTACTCATCACATGAAAGCGTTTTTGCAAATGCAAAGAACTCGACTTGTCGTTCGTTGTTCAAAGCTTTTTGTATACTCTTACACACGCCGATCATATCCGTCTCAACCTTTTTCTTTGAAACACCTGTAAATCTGCAAACGAAGAATATAACTAATTTAAACCACCGAATTTGAACTTCATAAAAAAAGTTAAACATTCATTAATTGCATTAACGTATGTTTAAGCACATCATTTGTTTTTTGTTCGTTTTCAAATGCCTGACTAAAAATGTAAAATTTTTAGTTCGTCTTCGAAATTAAACCTTTCATTTTTAATGATACCTGCATGTTTACATGTGTCGTAATAATAAAAATATATATATATATAAAGCTAATATGATCGAAATTGCCAATCAAACTGCATCGCCTAATTTTAGTTTTACTCCAGCTAGATCACTTCCTGTTGTCTTTATCTACAAAATATAGTAACAAACTGATATTTCGTGAAATTTCGATTTGATTTCACGTTACTTTTCTTCACAATTGGGATTCGTTGAGGGATGGACATACGTTTTATTTTTGTGTTCATTTTTTTATAATGATGATTGTAGTCATTTTCAACTGCAATATGAAAACAATATTAGGTCAACTTCAATGTCAGTAAAATATCATTTATTTTGTATTCGACACGAAACAGTTGAAGGGCTCGGTAAACCTTGCCCTTCCCCAGTTTCTTAGCCCAATACAAAAATAGTGTAAGGGAGTTGGAAAATTTCTTTCTAAATAATTTCTTTTTTCAAACGGAAAGGTATGGAGATTATGTAAATCTATTAACCTACATGGAGAAATGCGAGATTTTGAAGGAAGCGCGGTGACTTTCCATTTTGGCTTCAATGATTTTCCAATCTTTTATTTTCTCTGGATATTCTTTAGACGACGTTAAAATAACTATTTCATTATCTTCGTTTGTTGTCGAATGCATTGGTAACTTTACGTCGATTGGTTGTTTAGGTTGTTGGTGATTACTCATGGAAACATTAATTACATTTGTAACTATAAATGCTTCTCTCTTCGATATTGCTTCTTCAACATCTTTAGTCTCTACAACCTGTAAAAAGTACTAGACTTTAATGTGAAAATATATCTTAGATGGATTGCGAATTTTTATTTATATATGGTGCCCAAATAAAATATTGCTATAATATTAACGATGCTATCTTAATATCACATACCATAATAATCCATACATTTTATATATTAATAGCGTATATTATTATGTTGTTATTATATTATGTGTTTGGGATCATTGTGGTTCTTTTCAATCCAAGTTTTGTCATGTCCTACCACAAGGAATTTAAAGTTACAACTTCCAGATAAAACACTTTCAATTAAGCATTGGAAATAGAAGTCATTAAAATCACATGGCGATTCTTTCTGTCTTCTGCGTTGATTTCAGTTATCAAGTCCATACTCGTATCGTTACAGTGAAATCGTAGGTAATATCATAACAAAAATACCAATTAACGAGTTATGCAGCAACTTTGTTTAGGACAATTCCTTATTTTAAAAAAAACCCGTACTTTATAGCTTAATAAATGTATCTATAATTGAATCATTCAGAATAGTAACAGTTATGTGTTTTATTTATCTTTTAATACCAGCAAATTGTGCATGTTAGTTCTACTTAAATTATAGCAGATGTTTTTCGATTGGAGTGGCAGCTTATGCATAACAGGATATATCTACCATGTGTGGGCACCACGTATCAATTCCTTTAGAGTTCATTTGATTATGTTAACTACTTAATACAGTAATTCAACTGCTGTACTATGATAACAATTACTAAATATCATACATTAAAAAGGAGATCTCCGGGTGAATCAAACGTGTCCTTAGGTATATCTATTTCAGCGTCTGGCTCCAATTGTGGTTGAATGGTCACTGCCCGCTTTGTTATGCTGAATACCTCTGGTTTTTTAACAGTAACAAACATGAATGAAACAACTGCACCATGTTTGATGTTGACAGTTACAACTACATCTGTGTGCTGCCACAAAAAAAAATCCTCATAAATGATCATTGATAATCTCATTAAATAGGAAACCATTTTCATACAACAATAGCATGACATGTTTATAGATTATCGATGCTTTTTTCAAACGGAGGTCTTTCGTAGCTACAATATCCTCAAAGAGCGACAGCCCGGAAATGAGATGTAGCAGAGAAATATTCTCGAGTTTGAAATGTTATTGATAATATGTTTATCGCAGTTTTCCTTGGCATCGATAGTGACGTAGCTCATGTTATCATACATTCTCGTTCTCTCAACTATGAAAAACTCATATTACTTGAGAAGCATGCTATCACAACTTATCACAAACCAAGATGAAAGCAACATTTTAGAAAAAAGCAATAGTATTATATATTAAGTGTCTGAATAATAGCTATAAGTAGATATAAAAAGATGTGGTATGAGTACCAATGAGACAACTCTCCATCAAAGTCACAATTTGTAAAAGTAAATAAAGGCAACAGTAGTATACCGCTATTCGAAATTCATAAATGGATTGAGAAAAAAACAAATCCGGGTTACAAACTAAACCATTATAGGTCAAAGTACGGCCTTCAACACGGAGCCTTGGCTCACAATAAACAGAAAGCTATAAAAGGCCCAAAAAATGACTAGTGTAAAACTATTCAAACAGGAAAACCAACGATCTAATCTATATAAAAAGCGAGAAACGAGAAACACTTATGAACCACATCAACAAACGACAACCGGGTTTAAACGTTTTAATAGGCATCAACATTCACCCTACCTGAAACAATAGTGTAACATCACAACATAGAAAGACACACTAAGATCTACATTCAATATATTTGTGCTTATATTTGTGATAAGGTCAAATTTAGTTGGTTGTTTATTTATACTGTTATAACACTGAGGATATTTAGGTTTTTCATATCTGCGTCATGTATGTTTTCTAGAGTGGTTTGTTCAGTTTATTTAACAAAAGTCTAGCATAATAATAGTATGAAGAACATTGTTATCCTGATTTTAAAATTGCGTTAAGTTGATCTATATTCAACGTAGCTATTTTTCATACACCGTTATTGTCTGTCTGACATGTTTTATAATTACGTACATATAACTCATGTTACAAGATATCACTTTGGAACAGCATGTGATGCGTGAATATGCGGGGGTGTTTAAGTATTTTCATTTCGAATTGTAACCTTTTAGACATGTTTGTATTTGTTGATCGGGACTAATGATATTTGAACCTGAGTTAATTATGACTGTAATATTTCAATTTTAAGGGAGGGGGTGAATAACTTATCATCCGGCTATTGCTGCATTTTTCCCGTTGTCATTTTTTTACCCTACCTGTTATTCTTTTTGACGTAACATATATTAAGAAAATAAGATTATCTGAATTTTAAACATATGTTTTACAAACGATGTTAAAAACGATGGTAAACAAATGTGGCATGTATTTATATTTAAGAAAAATAACGTAATTTAAAAATAAAAAGAGTTTTACATACGTTTGTCTCTTCATTCCGAGTGGAGCTGTCGATATTTGCCACATTTCCATTTGGAGAAATAACATACAAGGTCTCGTTGCAGTTTGGAATTCCATTTAGTTTTAATTTCAAAATGAATGTAGTACTAGAACATCCCCATGCTTTACACTCGTATGCATCACTGAACAGCTTTTCATCTTTATTGATATACTTCCGGACATCTATGTATTCTACATGAATTCTAGAGCAGTAGAAGTAGTAAGGTTGATGTGTTGACTTTTTTGACAGCAGAGTCGCTCCCAATTTCTTCATTTCAGAATCACTTCCAGATTCAATGTAGTTAACATCGAATGCTATGCCACTAATTTAACAAATTAAATGTTCATATAAAACAATTGTTTTCTTATTGATAACTTATACCATGAAACACATTCCAACTTCAATTACTGGTTGTAATAAAAGAAAACTAAAGAGAAAAAATTAGGATTGTTTGCGATGTTTTATGTATGATATTTGCCTTATATACAGATTTGTTTAATGTTTATTCATATTACCCTAAAATGAAATATTTATATTGTAGAACAAACATACAAACAGGATGAAAAATAAAACATATTACCCATGCTTAAAACCAAGTAAACGATAATTGTGCTTTAAGAATATATCAACAATAGCTTTATCTTCTTTATCACTTGACTGTATTGCTTCTTCTAACCATTGCTGTCAAATTAGAATTCGAAAGATGATACAGATGTTATTCCAGTCTTTTATACATGTGTTACAGGTGTAAATAAATCTAATACATACAGCAAATATTTATCCTTTTCTTGATTTGGATACTTCAGTTTCACACGGGAAACTATATACAATAATATACGACAAAAGACAATTTCTCGTTCCTTATTGTTAATAAATTCATCATACATACCAGGATTGAAAATTTCCCTTTTTGGACGATGATGTTTTCCTTTAGCCACTTCTTACGGTGCGTATATTTCACAACCTGTTCGCTAGGCCCTTGTCTGTAGTCGCGTTTTAGATTTCAATGAACACAATTTATGCAAAACTGTTGAGTTAGAGATTTCGTTACCACACATTAATTAAAACGTTTATTACATTTTTCCATAGATACAAAGATTTGGTAAGGAAGATTGGCTGTACCTATTCAAAATTTCAAAATTCATTGATCATTTGAAAAAAAATATTTTTAAAGATTATTAATCTAACACCGTACTGAAATTTTTGAATATTGTTTTTATCGGTACTAACATTGATTTTGTTTTTGATAAATTAAAAATTAACTTAATTATATTGCTATATATGCACAGTAATTAGCTTATGTATTCATGATCCTACATCCTGTCGATACTGTTTAAGAAATGATTCTTTCATGCCATGCTCTATGCTCATTTTGTCAATATCTTTATACCGAGCGTTAGCGAGGTATAAACTGTTGACTTATATAATGTCTACATTATCAATATACAAATTTGGTACGTGTATACTAATTTGAAAACAGATAAGAAAGAGAGCAAAATCATCAGTCATAAAAAGCTGACAACACAATGACCAAAGAAGAAAAAACGAAACGACAAAAAAATAATCTCGATACACTTCACAAAATATGGTGGTCGATATAACGTATTTCATTCAGTGAGTTGATTCTGTTCCACCATTGGCATCTGTCGTATTGATTATATAGCAAGGAAAACATTGGTGGTTAGTCGCAATCGGAGGTGTCATAATCGACAAAAAGAGGACGAGATTGTGATTACTATAATAGGAACATATCCATGGTCATCTACCATACAGATATTCTATAACAGTCAACCAAATAATTATCAAGTACATAAAATGTTTGAAAAGGATGACTTCAACTTAACTAATAGCAGCCCTTGTTTTGATAGCTTCCTTGGATAATAATCTTTGGCGAAAAACATGGTAGGAAACGCAACCTCTGTAATATCGTATCAATTGGGAATATGTACTTCGTATTTAAGCGCTAAAGGCATGTTGTTAAAATAAAAGTTCCTAGTAGGAAAGCCGAAATCTTTCCTTGATTCTTAAGAGGCGCTGTCAATAAACATTCATCTTTTTCCTCATAATGACTGCAAAGTGCAAAACTATCTATGTATATAATAGCATACATGTTGTCTCATTGGCACTCATACCACATCTTCTTATATCTATGGTTGATATTCCAAATACGCGTACCTGGAATTATATTCCCACAGTTTCCATGAACATTAAAATTTTAGTTTGAAAACCATAAAAAATTGGAAATGTAAAATATTTTATTTTTATTATTTAGATACACTTTCGTTTGCTCAGACTTATAGATATAACACATTAAAGTGCCCAATTTGATGTTCAAAATTGAGAATGAAAATGGGGAATATGTCAAAGAGACAACAATCCGACCAAAGAGCAGATAACAGCCGAAGGCCACCTATGGGTCTTCAACGCAGCGAGAAAATCCCGCACCCAGAGGTGGTCCTCAGCTGGCCCCTAAATAAAATTGTGTTCAGTGAAAATGGACGTCACACTAAACTCCAAAACATATAAAGGAACTAAAATTAAAAAACATACAAGACTAACAAAGGCCAGAGGCTGCTGACTTGGGACAGGCGGAAAAATGCGGCTGGGTTAAACATGTTTTGTGAGATCTCAACCCTCCCCTATACCTCTACCTTTAGCCATTATGTTAAGAAATGACCTAGTAAGTATGCACTCTAACATATCTTCACATTGCCTCTAAAGAAGTTAGTTTCCCATTTTTCTGAAGCCCAATATTGACAAGTGAAAAATAGATGTAAGTAATCTAAAAAGAAGTTTTCATTGAGCATTTGGAATCTCAGCATGTATAAATTTGTTGAATAGGACACTTATGTAATATAAGTATCCAATTCAGTGACGGAAAATCCAGTTCTTCACTTATAGATAAAATTCCAAAAGAACATTGATTTTATTAAAATTATTTGACATTTCACAGTGATATTATACTTTAACTTTGTTTAAACCTGTTTATTTTCTTTTGACTTTAATTATTTATCCCTTGTAATTTTTTATTAACTGTGTATTTGCATTCAGGAGTCACAGGTCAAATTTATTCGTTCATTGTGTTTATTCACGTTTTTTGATTGAGTTAAGCCTTCCAATTGATATTTTATATTGTGTTTTTCTATGTTGTGATGTTATACTATTGTTTCAGAAAAGGGAGAAGGTTTGGTAACATAAAAACGTTTAATCCCGCGGCAAATGTTTGCACCTGTCCTAAGTCAGGAATCTGATTACAGTAGTTGTCGTCTGTTTATGTGGTTCATACTGTTTCTCGTTTCTCGTTTTTATATAAATTAGACCGTTGGTTTTTCCGTTTGAATGGTTTTACACTAGTAATTTTTTGGGGCCCTTTATAGCTTGCTGTTCGGTGTGAGCCAATGCTCCGTGTTGAAGGCCGTACCTTGACCTATAATGGTTTACTTTTATAAATTGTAACTTGGATGGAGAGTTGTCTCATTGGCACTCATACCACATCTTCCTATATCTATTGAACAGACTTATTATTTTTCAAAATTTCCTCTTTTGTTAGTGCAAAGGGAGTATATGGGGGAAAGTTTGAAGAGTAAGAAAAATCAACTCAGCTGATTCATAGATTGGTTTTTAACTACATTCAGTAGATGAATATAGTTGCTAAAGTTATAATGGAATCAAGACTGAAACTTGTAACAATTTTTTCTGTAAAACAGTATATTCTTACCCAGTCTTGCATGACAAGATCTGATCCGAAAAGACATAAAGCTTCGATAACCTTAACATGTTTACCCATGACAGCTAGCTCCAAGGGGGTCTGACCTTGCTGAATTATAAATGATATAAGTTGGTTAATTACACTGTTATCTCAAATACAAATACATCTTTGTGTAAATTTAAGAAAATTATGACAATGGTTAACAATAAAAGAAATAATAAAATATATAATGCAATGCAATGTCTCCGTCCCTTGATGTCATACAGTTTGCAGAAGATTTACCTGTTAAAAATTGATTTTCTAGAAACTAACTTTTCCCCTAATTTTTTGATTCAAGCTAACAAAATGCAATATTTATCATGTGCACCTTTTTCATTTTTCATGTTGAAGGTAAAAAATCATACCCAGTTTAATGCATAAACATCAGCGTCATTTGCTACCAAAGCGACAACGGTTGTGTCATGACCAGAACGTGCAGCTTTATGAAGTGCTGTTTCACCATTCTAAAATACAAAGAAAATAATTTTGATAGTATGAAACAAGTTATTCATAATATACAGTTGAAGATCATCATTAGATGTCTTACTTCATTATTGCATCGTGTATTTCATGAGTTTTCTGAATTATTAGATTTGTTTATGAAGCTTTACACTTGTACACATGTTTTGATGTACATATAATGCCAACACAAATGTACCATGTATTTCAAAAAATCATTATCGAAATTTTTCCTCGATAAAACAAGTATTTGGTAAAGTCCCGTTCTATAACGCTGAACATAAATTTCATATCTTTATGGTAAGATCAAAATTTATAAATAAAAACGTCTCAATATGTAACATTTATCATTAATTTCTTGATTACCCTTTGAACAAAACAGGCTGACTACGAGTACATACCATTTGAATAATAATCATTAAGCACACTGATGTTATCATAAACAACTTGTTAAGACACTTATGTGACACATGTTGAGCAGGATTACCTGAGATCATCCCCGATTTTTTGTGAGGTTGGTGATGCTTAATCTTAAATTTTTCTATGTTGTGCTTTTTATACCGTTGTTTGTCATTGTATTGTTCTTCATTTTTTGCCATGGTATTGTCAGTTTTTTGTTCGACTTGTGAGTTTGAATGTCTCTTTGGTATTTTTCGCCTCTTTATTATGTTCCTGAATATTGACGAGAGATAAATTGAAGTATTACACTAGGTTATGTTTCATTCAGGCTTAATAAACCTTCACATTAAATCTGTGCGGTGGTTAGTTGAATATGTCTGAATTGTATGAATTGTATGAACAATTTATCTGTTAAATTTTGATTTCGAACAACTCTTGAGTACATACAAAACCCATACCTTAAAGTAAGCTAAGACTTATTTTACTTTTATATTTTTTTTTCTCGATGAAACATTAAAGCAGTCATTATATTCGCTTGAAGACCAGCTTCTTTCCTGCATATCTCTAGCTTATATAAGCGTCTTTTTTACTTCTTTAACCGTTATTTATGCAGTAAAAATATGGCCTTCATCAATATCGTGAAGAGGTTTGTTTATCCATCAGTGCCAATCAGAGGTTGATTCTTAAAAATTCTAAAGATCTACCGAAAAATTACAAATCCTTACAATTTTGCAATATTATCAAAACTTTAGTTTTTCGACGTTTACCACTTCCAATTCCACGATGGAATTAAAATATTGAATACATCGGCTCATTAAACACAGCTTTTCCTGAAATCAAGGGAATCGTAGATATAATGCTTTGTTTTAGGTCAAGAAAATTCTAGGGTTATGAAGAACCTTTCTGATTATCTGCAGTAAGATATACTGTGCCCCGTCGTATTTGGCTTACATATCTTAATTGATACGTTACGCACCTCCATGTTCAAACTACGTGGACTTCATTTTGCAGGTGTTTGCTCCTTTAACAAAAACTGACCCAAAAGAGTTATGAGGTGAAACGACTGAAATCGACAACACAAATTTTGCAGTCAGCATCACGAGTTCGTTGACCGACTAACTATATCTGTGTTGCAATTTACAAGTGATGTTTTTTGTCTTAGATCTTAGGATACAAGAACAATGGCCGAATTTGCAATTTACCGTTTATGGCCTATTCCCGATTGTGAAATTTGACTTTTAAGATTGGATTGACACGGCGTATGGCGCGCATTCATAGCAGGAGACGTTAATCATATCGACGCACCTGGTATCGCTCTTTTTAAAGTTTATACAATTCTCTCAGTTTTTCATTACATTGTTATTAAATTTTCGTTTTTGAATGTCAATTTTTGTTGTTTTTTCATAAGTTTAATTTCAGTTTAAACAGTAAATTATTAAAATAAATTGAATTTGATTGGGCAACAGGCAAAGCCTATGTAAACCCTCTCCATGTTAAATAATGTATTTTCATTCAGTCTAATATTCATATTTTCCCCCATTCATTTCGTGTGAACAATTTTTTCCCTAAACCTTGTTGTTTTAAATGCCTTTTCGTTTAATCTCTTAAACAAAACCACATACGTTTTTTTTTATTCTTGTTACTTTTGATGTAGTCTAATATCTATTGAAAAAGAACATTTCAGAATAGAACATGCTTAAATAATTACATTACATGAATATTTCAAGAATGTCCGTAAGGCCGAACACAACGAGTTAGTTGTGTGCACATACAAAATCTGCGTCGGGCATGGTTTTTGTAATAAAATTACTAAAAGAGTCACCAAATTCGTATATATAAGAAATTTATTGAGTGTACGTAATACTTACACAGTCCCGTATTTTTACACTAGCGCCTTTGGAAAGAAGTTTCAAAATCAAACCTTCATATCCAGCAACGGCTGCATAATGTAACACATTACATTTTGTCTGAAATTAAAAATATCAGAGACAGGTATGCTTAGTAGAGTGTCATCTTTACAATAATGCAAGTTAATTGGGTAAACAGATTTATACTTTTGTACAAAACGCCTAGCACATAATAAATATCTGAGCTGTGAAACACAAATTTGCTTATGGATTCATCGTCTGACATGTTACTGAGTTACATTTAACTAATTACAAGCGACAAACTTATGTAAGCCAGGACAGATATTTAAGTGCAAGACATTCTTGCAGTAACTCATCAGTAATTCACAAAGAGATATAGTAAAGAAAAATTTAAAATAAGAAAACAATAATTATTTAAAGTAAACGATTTAAAACCACTACGACCTTGTGTATATATATATATCATAAGGAATGTTTTACTTCAATGATGAATTGTAAGAATACCTTACATCACTGCATATTTTTAAATCTAAAATCCCTATAACATACTTTATAGAAAATAAAAAACTATAAGAATGAATAACAATTTATAAATATTTAGGCGTTCGAAAGATAGACAAATCCGATTTTCGTTATGTATTGCTGGGATAATTTTTAAGCAAGTATGTCAATAAATAGAAGAAAAAAACTTCATTACGTAAACACTTACTTGATCAAGAAAATGTATATCAGAACCGTTGTCAATGAGTTTTAAAGCTGCTTGTTTCTTTTTGTTTTTCGTGGCAAACATCAGCGCAAAACCCATACTATCCTGAAAGGGAAGTGTTTTTTCAATATAATTAAGTCCAAATGTTTAATAAGAGTTTTGCATTACAATGCAGTCAGAACAAAAAAATACAGTTGAAGCATGTATTCAGATAAGAAAAACATTGCCGATGTAATATAACCTAAAATAACACTTACACCAATATGTCGTTGACTGAAATTGAATACCCTGCATTTATCATGCTTTCCAATAACATATGATGATGAAAGACCCCTCCTTCCTAAATTATCGAAACCTATAACTCAGCATTGTCAAGGGTATATTAGTGTAAATCAGATACACTTATTCGGGCTAACGCCCTCAAGGTGTATTTAATACTTATATGATATATTGATATATACTACAACTGTAGCTTCTTCTTTTTTCATTTCAGTAGCATGATTTTTAAAAGAGGTGTAAGATATAAACTGCAAAGGTTAATTGTCCTTTTCGGATTTCATAAAGATGCACAAAAGGACACATACTTCATTTCAAAGCGAATATTTTTCGTTATATAATGATATAATTTTGTCACTTAAAATACATACACAGAGTTGATGGTTTTTTTTTTTTGTTTGATTAGTTTTTAGATGAATAATAAAAACTTATCAAAACTGTTTTTTTCATAAATTATATATTTTTATGTATCTTGCATTTTATAAATTGTATAAGCTAAGATAGCGATAATACATAACTAACCTCTTGCGTCTGAGGATCTTGCATATCATCTTGTAGAACAGATATATCTTCTCCTATAGAAGATTTGGCTGGAAAAACCTTGGATGTGTATCTCGACTTAAGTCGGTTTGCTTTGTTCTCAGTCAAAGCTATTTCGACAGCCATAGTTTTTAGGTCAGATTATGTTCTATTCGTTTACTTTTTGATATCTATAAGCAAGGAAAATCGATATTAGCAGATGTTAACTATGATTAAAAAGTGTAAGGACACATGCTATTTTAAAACAAACAGGACCATGGCTGTAAACCTTAGAATTGTGAATTAAGAACACTTCTTATGTACGAGCTTCAGAGTGCAACCAGAAGTTCTAGCATTAAAAAATTTCAAAGAATTATTCTTCAATGATGAGAAGTTTGGGGACTAAAATCGTTTGTCTAAATGATCGGAGACCGCAAAAATGAATGTCAATCCTCATGAAAATGGTGTTAACAATTTGCGAGCAGCGCAGATGTGGATCAAGGATTTTGAAAAAAGGGGGGGCAGCGTTCTCACATTCGTGTTCTCTTTTGAGTACTCACAAAGCTTTACACCGCTTGATAATAAAGGGTCTGCACAAATTATTTATGCTTATTTTTCTGGCGGTATAGATGTCTGTTGAATTTATTAGTCACTTGTACTTTAATTACGAGTGTACAATGGTCACATGGTCATTGTTAAAGGCCGTATTGACTCAAAATGTACCATTTAGGTGCCTTGGGTTTGGGTTTTTTCCGTTTAAAACAATTGTTCTTGTTATTTTTTTCCCCATTACTTACACCTACAAAACTATTTTTGTTTGTTATATTTCTAATGAGACTATTTGAGTTACTCTGAAGGTGAGCGTTACTTTTATAAGCAGATAAATCAAGAAAAAAGGTTTCTTTTCAATTTTGGAAACGATTCCGTTATCGTGACAATAGTTTGAAAAACATATCTAGTTAAGTAGATTTAATGAGTCCTTAGACTCGTTTAAATACCTGACTAAATTACGGATTTCTCCAAAACCCTTATTAATCAATTAATCAAAAAGTAAAATAACAAAATTCCGACCTCCAAGGGAAATTCAAAACGGAAAGTCCTTAATAAAATGGCAAAATCAAAAGCTCAAACACATCAAACGAATGGAAAACAACTGTTATATTCCTGACTTGGGACAGCCATTTCCTTATGTAGAAAATTGTGGATTAAACCTGGTTTATAACTAGCTAAACCTCTTACTTGTATGACAATCGAAAAGAATTCCACTATAGAGACAACAATGTCTCAGCAAAACAAACGGATATCAATAGGAACAAATGTCAAAAATTGGGGTACAGCCGTCAACATTGTAATATAATCTTAATCACTATAAAAACAAATAACTATTTCAACAAAGAAACACAAAATGGCATATAGATACTCTATAGAAAAATAACATAAGTACAAATGAAGGACAAGAATACAAAATTGATCATAGCACAATAACACAACGGCGGGATGTAAAAGTACCAAGCCACGTCAAAAGTATGTTTGATGTGTTTGAGCTTCTGATTATGCCATTTCATAAAGGACTTTCAGTTTTGAATTTCCCTTGGAGTTTGGTATTTTTGTTATTCTACTTTTTATCAAAAATGGACTAAACAGTAAAGGTTAAAATGTACAAGGACAAATAAAAAGAACACTATAACACGTAATTGAGATGATAAACAACTAATTAACTAACAACAATTAATAGTTTACAAAGGTACTCAAATTTAAGAGGTTTTGTTTATGAAAGCTAAACAAGGTTGTTGTTTGTTCATTTAACAAAAGTCAATAATCTTTGGGTTTTTGGTGTACCATATACAAAGTACAACACAACTTAATATCGATGAAAACAGTTGGTAATTGAATGAACACTCCAAAGAGTTTCATAGATGATCAGGCGTGTCTTCAAGTTGAGCATCTCTTCCTAAGCATACTAAGCGCCATTTAGGAGAGGAGTTATTGTAATGATTAACAAATGAATAAAACTTGGGTGGCAATCAATTTTTCCTAAACTGTTTATTTTAAGCACAATATTGTCGTCATCTCTTTCCTTATTCTAAACAGTCAACATTGTGTTATAATCTTAATCACTATACAAATAAACAAATATATCAAGAACAAAAAAGAAAATGGCATATAGGCAAAGCACATAAGCAAAAATGAAAGCCAAGAATACAAAAAAATGACGATAGCACAATAAAACAATGGTGGGATGTATAAGTACCGAGCCACGTCAAGAGGATATTACCAAAAATGGACTAAACAGTAAAGTAAATAATTTACATAAAACAAATAAAAGCACACTATAACACGTAATGATGTTAAACAAAGTCAGTACCTAGAATCTATACTTCAAGACCATCGTGTATTATTTGTGAAGTTGATATGGAATATTTATCAACAAGGTCTTGGTATCTTCCGATGAACTTTTTTAGGAAAAAGACGAGACGTTCTTTGACATAATCCTGCTTCATCAACTTTCTGCTCAGACACTGGTGACGTTTTATAAAGTCTGAGTAGCAGCTGCAAGCTCTTGAATACCGAATGAGTTGGGAAATGTACATCCCATATGCAGGTAAGTTGGTATATTGATACTAAGGTGGGGGAATTTGATAATTGCAAAATTAAAATCGTCTCGTTTGTCATAGATTCTGGTACTGAGATGACTGCTTATGTCAAATTCGAGGTATAAGTCTAAAAATGAGGCGGAGGAAGCCGTGTCTGTTGTTTCTTTTATTTCTAGTTTTGGAAGATATATTTATTGAACCCAATCAGAAAAGTTTGGATTGTGAATGGGAAGAACATCATCAATGTATCTGAATGTGAAATTAAATAATCTAGCTTCTTTGATCTTCAAGTGTCTGAAGGAACTCCGACTCATATGAAAATAAGAAAGTCTACCTCCAAATTCAACAAATATGTTGTCAATAAGAAACTCCAGCATACTGATCACTTGTTCCTCTGTGTAGCAAGTTTTACATTTTTGTTCTATCAACAAAATATGCCGTAACCGTCCTCGTTAAGCATCCATTATTAGGCTTGTTTCCATTATTGTCCAAATAATTACAAAAAGAAGGATTAGAAGCTATATTTGAACTGCAAAGACGATACACTCGTGGAGTTTATGCTGCAGTATAAACAAAACTATATAGGTTGATGTGTGATTTAAAGGACACAGTTAAGCAAAAATGACATATTTTGGTAGAGTGGATACACTTTGGGGATTGAAACGTTTGGGAATGTTACATACAAATAGTTTGATTGAACAAAAAAAAAACAGAAAACATAAAAAACATATCCATTCATGCGTTCGGTTTTTCCACGGGAAACACGAGTCTCACAAGAATAAATTAGGAGTTACAATAACAAAAAAGTAAGCGGAAGTCATATTCTATACTCTTGTAGATTTTTTAGATATGTTCTTCATAATTTTCAGAATACGAATTTGAAATGACTCTACATATATAAAGATATCATTTACTCCCAAATCAAACTTTTTTCATCAAGAGATAATTCTGAAAATTTTATTTATTTTGATATTGATGAAAAAACATTAGTTCTTGTCAAAAAGATAAGAAAATTCCAGAATTCTCCCATACCCCCTATCTGAAAGTTGATAAATAGAGATTGAAGATTTTATAGTGAAAATAATTACGGAAACTGTAGAATAATGGTACGTTCTTCTGCAATCTATATTAAGGGAGGAATCTTAACAGTCTAAACAATAGGTAAAGGGATACTGTATGGTTATCAATGTATTGGCATACTTAGTCAAAACTTGAACTACTTATTTAAAAAAATGCATTGGATGGCATTACCTGGTCCCATTAGCTTTGTTTGTCGAGTTATGAAATTACATAATTTTCTTTGAGATCTGTTATATTAATGCGAAGTATACACAATTTGGCGGTAATTCGGATTTTGATGAACTTTTTTTTATATGTAAAACCTACAAATCGAAATAACGGTCACATTTATACTTCCAGAAATACAATCAACTCAAGCATTAGAAATACATGTATAGAATATAAAGATGGCATTTATTTCAATTTGAATTGCAATTTTTCGAATTCTGAGCAAATAATACTGTTGATATATTTTATTGACATTTTACTACATAGAACATTTCGTTTATACAGATATCTAATTTATAAAATAGATATGTAACTGGATTAATTTTTTCTGTATGAATCATCTAATCTTCATATAAAGAGTTTTGAAAAGTGTCGTAATTAGAAAATTTTAAATTAAAAAAAAAGAAATATAAAGTAAAGATATATCGACAACCCTTTACTATAAACAACAAATACATTGCTGTTGTCTGTTCTATGGTCGGGTTGTTGTCTCTTTGACACATTCCCCATTTCCATTCTCAATTTTATTCCCCATTTCCATTTTCAATTTTATATCTTATGTTTTGTTCTACACACAAAACATGTATTCTGGTTATAAACATCTTTACTAGCCAGAGAGCATTGGTTTTATGAGAATAGAAGTTTTGTTTATTTATGAGATTTGCCAATTGGTAAACTACTGTTGTCTATATTTATATATGGAGACGAAGGATGATTTTTTAATCTTTACTCCATTTATAAAGATAAGAAAATGCCATGTATACATGCATGAATTATAAAAGATTCAGGTCGTAAAAGAATATTAAATAAACGAAACAAGAAAGAAGGAACAACAACATACCTTCAGACTTCATAACTGTATTTAAATGTCATCTAATTGTATACTTAGGTTGTACGAATTCGCCAAAAATGACAAAGGTAAAAGTTTGATGCCTGTTACAGAAACCCTTCCTCGATCACCAGACCATATCAAATCAATACAAGATTTTATTTGTTTGTCATTTCAACTATTTAAAATACTTTTTTTGATATGTGTTAACACGAAAAAAAAAGGTTTTCTTGGAAAATTCATCAGCCATTTAAAAACGTTATACCATATAACTCTTTTTTCTAAATATAGCAACAGAACCGTGTACACCAACACACATATGAAAAATGGAAAGGCTATCAAGGAGTCAATATCTAAGGCACGAAGAACAGAATATGACATGACCAACAGAAAATTAATAAATTACAAAAAAAAAAAATCAAACATCTCACTTACGGTACTAAAACTTTGACAACACGATCCCAATACCAAGCTGGGAATG